GCACGTATGAAAAATAAGTTACAGCTTATTATCTTTCCTTTCAGCGGATGCTGATATTGCAAACTAGGTAGTAGTTGATATAGGCATATATGGTCACACTCAATTCATTCAACCTAACTAGGTGGCAGTGGCAGTGACAGTGGCGGCACCAGCCTTCCGGCTTTGGCTACTCTGTGGTGGTGCCATACTCGCAATCCTCTCATAGAGCGCCTTAGAGGGTTCTCTCAGGAAAATTTAGAGAAAATGAATTGATTTTGTGCATTTTGACACATAATTACAATTCGGGGCGCAAACCACTTTTATAGGTCCCCCGCCACCCTGTACCACCACTGGCGCCGCCACTGAATGCGGAGAATGATTTTAGCATCATTTATGTGCCATTGAGTTCAAAAGGCGTTTCTATTACTTTTCTCAAAGGTTAATTGGTGAAAAGTCTGAAATATATACCCTGGAAAAAGTTTTTCCATGTTTTGTAGAAAGAGTTGTAGCCAATCCTTTTGCCGAAAACGCTTCTTGTAAAAAATCTCATTGTCTAAAGTTTGGCGCACACTGTCCGATCTTTTGATGGAATGCCGACGACGTCAGGTTATCGGGACGTGTACACAGCCCACATTGAACGTCATTTAATCGTCAAGAAGAACTACTGGAATAATATGTTATTTACCTTGACAGCTTCATGTCCATTCCGGGGAGGCAACCGTACTCGTAAGTGTTCATTAACCTACAAATATTTTTTAGTGATATAGGATTGACTCCACTAATTCATTTGCCATCTTTTCCCATTTTAAAACACGAAATTCAACCTTCTACAACTTTTTCCAGAAATCTCGTTGAAAGCTTTCCAATATGTCGAATGAAAGCCTGGCCAATCCTTAATGTCTCCTAAACAATTCAATATATGATGACCATGAAAATTTTTAGCTACTAAAATTGAAAGTAGACGAGTACCGGTTATACTCATCGGCTAGAGTTTGGCAGTTCACAAAACGACTTTTTTGAGAACTATCCTTCCGCATGAAAATTCTCATCATCTCACCAAATCATTAAGATAATGCAAGAAATTATAAGTTCTATATTCCAGACGGATCATTATGGGGATATCACTGATTTGAAATGGTTTACCTCAAGGCATGCCTTTGTTAAGGGAGAACAATAAGGTTTGACTGAAATATTAAAAACATGATAAAGAGTATATAGGGTAGTAAAGTTATTTTTTGGTTTGAATTATGTCTGTTCTTGATGAAATCTTCACAATTTTCGCAAAGTTGAGCTGGAAAATTCAGAGATAATCCATGCTGTTTTCACCATCTAAAATTCATTCTATAAACTTCTGATTCCAAAAAAGCATACCACAAACTGAAGTAGAAGTAAGAAAACCTCTATTAATATGGTTAAAAGAGGCAATATATGCATTAGAAAACAACTTTTAGACTTCAAAACCTGTTCAAAATGGCTTATACGGGAAAATGCAATTTTCTACCATTCCTTTACATTCAATATATAACCTAAAAATTTGAACTTCAACAAAATTTGACTGATATAAACCTATTTTGTAGTACTCATAAAAAGAAAAAAACTGTCATTAAGAAGGCTTGTTTTGAAAAATGCTTAACTGTCACACGACTTCATTAAGAATTATCTTTCCGCATGAAAATCTCTCATCATCTCACAAAATCTGAAAGAAAATGCAATTTCTGACATTAAATTTCAAATCTAGACCGAAGATTAGTCACTAAATAGGCATGCAAAATCCTAATTGGGAGAGAGAATGAGGATGTTTAGAAATAACACGGACTACATTCGTATATCATTTAAATAAAAAGTTTTAGTGGTCTGAGTACAAAATATTTCAGTATAGTATTTCAGACTACTCTCCCCTGATCCACAAAAGCAAACATTCCCCGCTCGATAAACTCGTTCATTGTAACCTTTAACAACATTCTGTGTTGTCAATTAACACCATGGTAATAGCAAACATAACAAATAATAATATTTTAATTTGACATTTACTCAATATCATACTATACCTAATACGTCATAGTACAGAGGAAGGGTTAATTAATAAATTAATGTAGATCATATTTATCATCGTTAATGGACATAATAAAGCAGCGTTTATATTCCTTGTAACGATAAAACCCATTCCGATTCAAAACTGTAAAAATATGCAATTGCTTCAATTCATTATTTAGGCGTTTTGTGGGTCATAACGTTATCAGTGATTGTAGATATATTGACAAAAATGTTTATGTAAATATTGGAATAATCGAATTTAAGCTGGAATGCTTAATGTAAATCAGAGAACAGATAACTGATACAATTACAATAAACTTAGACTAAAAGAATCAAAAACTAACTCTGACCATTGTAACCTCTTTAGTTCTTACACACATAATTTTCTTTTAACAGTGTTTTTACGTCAAACAATCACAATGTAGTACTGTAAATAAATAAAACGATACAGAAAGACGTTTTAGTTCTATAACTGTAAGCGGTTGGAGAGCTTTGTAATGTTCTTCTACACGGTGGGTGAATAACACCTTTTTATCGATAATTGTGCAGTTATGTAGTTCCTATTCTATTTTTGAAATTGTAGGAACCACAGGCGACTGATTGGTCGGAATGATGCAAATTCAATGTCTCCGATACAAATAAACAACTTAAATGGCCCAATGGTTCTCTCCCTTAATACGCTACTGAACCGGTTTTACTTTCGAACTCCCAATCTTGTACCAATATATATTTGATAAAGAGGTCATGAACAATGTGTTTTGACATTTTGTTTTGCTTTGATCAATAAAACAGTCTAAAAGCGGTTTAAATGACTTATTTATTTCTGTAAATTGAAATCATCCCCTTCCTTAAATGATTTAATTGATTATGAAATAACAATAAAGTCAGTCACAACTTTTCAACCTTTGATTATTGAATTGACACTTTCCAGTTCGATTCCTGGAGAGGAAATTTTACCGGAATTGTTGCTTGAGTTACGCATAATAGGCCAGTATGCACTGATGTTGATTAACAATGCTTAAGACAGAATGGCTTGCACTTCTATCTGCACCGTAAAGGATTAAGTGCTCGTGGTAAAATTGGTCTCAATTGGACAGTTGGAAATCGAAAAAGAGCAGGCTTATGCTTGGCAAAATGTCTCTCATTGCATCCTACATGGCGCTGTCCGTCTTCATTAACCCACATGGTGCAGTAAAGTAGGACGCAAAACTCAATTCATTTCATTTCTGTAATATAATATGGTCTGAATGCATTCCCGCTACTTGATTGTCAATAAACTGATTGTACAGAAAGATCCTCAAGCATATTTACTTCCCGTTGTAATTTCTTGTAATGCTAATCTAATGCCTATTATTAAATTGTACAAAGATATTTTCCTGTAGAATATTGATTGAGTTCAATATTGTTAATACATCGAGACAATTGATAGGACGACATTATAGTAGCCAAACAAACCCAAGAATACTTGAATTGTTTTTTATCCCTCCATTATCCTAAGTAGTTTCCCTTACATTTTATAATCATTTTCATTGATTGATTTCAAGCGATTATGTAGAAATGGGTGGTTAAAATGCTGTTACTTTATCAATGTGTTATTAGTTCCATCAAAGTTTGGAAAGTTAAAGAGTGCTTTTCTAATTCGCATTGATTTCTACTTCTACTTTCTGCTGTAATTTCGTATCCATTTGAAAACACAGGTAAATGTTCTTTTTTCACACAGTAATTAATTGCTTATTTAATACCTAATATTATTTGAAACTAATACCTTGACATTTTTGAAGTGATTTTGTTTAATTTTCTTAGAAAAGCGTTTAGTTTCAATCCTAATGAGAATCTATTCTGTGGAAGGTTATGCACAGCTGGTTTGATTCAATTTTTGTATGCGATTCAGGCATCAACAATGCGTCAAATAACTCACTTGTTTCTAAATCTACATGTTGTAATGCTTAGCCTACATAATAATTCCTTTTTTTAAAAGACTTGATGTATATTTGTTAAAATCAGTTCATGGTTGTGTTTTTTCTGTGGTATCAAAAATTTTGATTCATCAGTTGATTCATTGACAGTTGAAAGACTACCAGACGATATATTTTTCAAGGAAGTGTTTACAGATAATAATAATGTGAAAGGAATCTTTTGATAATAAATATTGTTGTAGCAACAATATAACAAGAATAGTATTCATTGTCCTAGGGGGAGGTTTATCATCTTGTGCTTATGTAAACATGTTGATGAAGATATTTTTAATTTCCTGATCGGCAAGGATGTCGTTTTTTGAGTCGAGAGTAAAAATGTAAATTCGCTTCTGTTTTATTTTGTTTTTTAGAGAATATTGTGATGCTTTTTTTTACTGGCATTGTAATTCTATGAAAATTGTTTCAAATCACTAAACTAAGCAAACAATTATTCACTTTTTATTATGATTTCTAGATTAAATTTCTCAGTTATCAAATCACTTTTCAGACTAGAAGATAGATACGCTCATTTTACACCTCAAGAAAGATATGGAATGAGCCATAATCTGGCTTACTGTGCTTAAGATTATGTAACCCAAGTCATCATAACATTTACAAATCTTATTTCTAATCTACACTACTGAAAAAGATTTTCCATTTTTCATGAGATGATGGATCGATTTAACGTCCTTTTAAGGTTAAGTGAGAGTAATTACCTTCCTTAAAAAAGATCCCATTTCTGAAGAATGATCATTGAAGCCTGTGCCCCACGGGAAACCTAAATGAGTTATATTATGAATGCTTACTGTGTTGGAATGAGCTTTCAAACGTTATTTATAATTGATGATGTCGTACAGGCAATATTAATATTATACAATATTAGTAGGAAATATATCATTTGTCATATAGGTGACAGCCAGCTAGGTAGAAATGTTTCAGGATGTTCCGGTACATAGGTTGTTTGACAGGAAACAATGTGCTTTTGACACTACTGTCTGAAGTTTTAAGCGGATTATTATTTGTCTTTACACCATGGCTGAAAGTTCAGGTAAAGCTCAAATGTGTTAAGTTGCTTATTCTGAAATATTGTGATATTACTTGATAACAATATTTATTTTAGTGTAAGATACAATGTACAAGTATATTTCGTGTATTTCCTGTGGTGTTAATCATTCTACAAGACAGTTTAGTTACATTACATAGTTACACAAAAAAAAATATTCGTTAAAGGGACAGGTGTGCAATTCGTTCGACCAATCGTATTTCTTCTCAGAATAGGAATTTTCTGGCTAAGCTAATCAGTAATTGTGTTCACAGCTCACCGTCGAAATTTGAGCCTTCAAGTCCACGTGTGTCCAGAAATATCCGTGTTTTCGACTAGAACGTCCCTTCAAAGCTTAGATACCTCTAATGAACTATACACGTTAAATTCCGTTGTCTGGTTCTACTAATTTTCTGATTAAAAAAAGTATGACGCACTATCAAATAATTGTAAGTTTTGATACACCGAGGTCGATTGATATAGATTATGATTAAAAAGAGAAAAAAAAAGAGCAAGCAGTATCATTTTTCCATATGGTCATTGACTGTACTGCAAAAATGTTTACATAAAATACATAGCATTATGTTGATGATACAGTGTACTGGAAGTTGTCATTCTATTTATTCATATGTTGCCAAATTTTCATGTAGTTATTACAGATGTGTTATCTAAGTGATAATTGGGTTTGAAGCACACAGTGTAGAAAAGTAGGACGTAAAACTCTCTTCGATGAACAATTCAAAGATTGCTAGAAATTGTACATCTATTTATTCATATTTATTGCTGCGTGATGTCATTGTATTGAATAGAATGTTCAGATAAAAAATACATACTTGAAGACAAGACAATACATCTAAGAAAAAAAAAGGAGTAAACAACATAGTGGTAAAATTAAGTGAATTCAACTCAACAAAAGAATTATCTACTTTATTTATGAAAACTATTGTCTACAACGATTTTCACTTTCACAGTTTTTATTTTCTGATAAGGCTTTGTGGTTTGAATGTGTTCAATTTGGTGAACGAATTGCAATTATTATATTGAGTTTCTGATTGTTTAGAGTAACAACAGCCTTGTGTGTGAGGTGATAGAGTATGTTTTTGTTCGCTATTCTATTCATTGCTACAGAGTGGGAATTACAATGAATGAAAGCAAGATATTTATGAGGAATTTACATAAAGTATTTCGTGAACAACAGGACAAAAAGTAAAGGATGATATATTTTTATTGTATGTTGATAAGGTTGTGAGATTCCAGCAGTTAATCTAACTAAATCAAACCAACGACTAACACTTGACTACCAATTTACAAGAATTACCATGATCACAACGTGTTCGGAAGTATGAAGAAGACCGAGTAACTCAAGCCACACCATCTAGAACCTAGTCTCACCGCCTTGTCATTCGACCCGACCAGATCTCACAAATTGTCAATTACAAATCCAACAGCTTAGAATCATCCAATTTGAACTAATCCAACTACCAACTACTACGTTTACAAACAACTACTTAATTTGCCAAATCGACATCCGCTGATAGCAAACGTTAACTTGTAATCTATATACCTAACTATGTTTGTGATAAAAAGGAAATATGATGACAGTGCAATTTTTTGAATTTTTTTTCCAGGGTTCATTTATTTCAAAATTGATTCATTTGGGTGTTATTTTGGAAAATAATTGACTTTCTTGGCCAATTTACGAAAACTATTGACAGTCAATAATACCGAATCACGTAGAAGTCAAATGACATATTATAGAGAAATCGATGTTCTTAACGCTTGACGTCGTTTTGTCTTTTATCATATAACTTGTAATACGGTCTAGACGATATAGTTTGCATTAACTTACAATATTTTATACAAAATCACGTCCAATTCTTTTATCCACGTCAAAATGATCTTTAATAACAAAATATAGATTTTCATATTTCAAAACATTTACTTAATATCTTATTTCAGGACAAGGCTCTAACGATCAACTGGCACCCATCGACCGGTTTCAACTTGTCTTCAACCGCCTCTATGGTACCGAGTACCGCGCAGCCAAGAAAATGTTACATCCAAAGCTACAACAGAAGAGAATGGGAGCTCGTCGTGGTCCGACGCTATATGAGCGTATACTATTATTCAGGCGGCTTCGCGGGGAAACACAAGGCGAAATACCCGGACAGGTAAGGGAATTATCATTTAAATGTTTATACATAATAAACAAAATATATTTTTCATGTAATTTTTTTAAATAGAGCTGGGGAAATTGTTAATCTTACTCTAATGTCAGAAATATAGTCACAACGCCCTCAAAACTGAATTCAATCAATGTTGAAAACTGTCTGTTGAAACGGAAGCTATCCAAAAACTAGAATTTAATAATACAAGAAATTTCATGTTTTTTTTATTAATGAAAATTGTGGCTGTCACCCTTTATCTTTGAGATTTACAGAAATAAAAGGACAAGATTAAGATAAGACCTTTTTCTTAAATCCAATTTAATTGAAAAATTTGAACGAAGAATAGACGAGGTTTATTTTCTTATTATTAGGTAGTTTTAGAGGTTATATAAGGAAAAGAAACGCACGTTTTCCACAAAATGGAACAAGAAGAAGCTGAAATAGGACATTGTGATAGTAAAGAGCATGGTGACAGTAGTTTCTTTCGTTTTCGGCCTCTGAAAACCGCGACACAACTAAACCTATCCTATTATGTCACTTCCTCATCTCTAAGATACAAATGATTAAAAAATGTGAAGTTATATCAATTATAGGAAGGAACAATACTAATCTAAAATAGAATATCACAGGTTATAAGGAGAAATAGCTGATTAAATATTGATAGACACATCTACGATTTATTATAACCTCTTTGTTAAAGGCATTCATACTCTTAAATTCAAACTCTCGAACTTGGCCAATACCAGTATATTTTCTTTGAATAATATATAATATGGTTTGGTGATTTATCGCATTTTACAGGTATTTAAGGTATTATATCGTTTCACAAAAAATCTTCAGATCAATTTTATCTGTATGCTTCTTCTCCATACTTACGACATACTTATATATATTTATTTGCATAGTTATGACATCAGGTATATCCTCTGATGAATATATTATGTTATTTATGTTCATTCCGAGAGTTAGAATGCCTTTAGAACGGTAATGTCATTATACACCCACAAAGGACTAGCTCTTCATCACGCAACAACCTTTTCAATTCCAGTTCACTACATGCATATACATCTATTTTAGTATTAAATTTTAATTCAGCCATATGATTTTTTAACGATCATGCCATAAGGCATTATAATCGTGGAAATGCCTGATAAATTATATGAAATTGTTTTCTTGCCCACGTCTTTTATTAAGAGAAAATCGTAAAAAAAAATACAAGTAAAAGCAATCTGGTGATTGAAGGCGCATTAACCTTTGAAATCAGTGGTCCATCTTGAATGTCAATCTACATGTGTGTCTGTATTGTTTTTATACGATTATATTCTTATCTTATTTCTAACGGCTGAGACCTATTAATCAGGCCTCAGAGATCAGAAATAGCTCACATTATTTATCAAAATGATACAGCAGTGGTAACGTATAAATATTGCTATTTCAGGCCTTAGCAGAAGCTAATGGAACTAAACCGGCGTATAAATCAGAATCCAGGCCGGATGACACACCGCCAGAAGAACGGAAACAAGAATTTACATCCCTTCAGCAGCAAGATTCACCACAGGTTCGTCGTAAACCAAATGATTCTCCACAAGTTGTTCGGGCTCAAACTCGTCAACAGGTATATAATATTTGTATAAATTCTTTACTATAACAATTTAACTGTAAACGGAAACATCGTATACCGGATTAAAATTTTAAGGCTTTGTATCAAAGTTAACAATATGTCATTTTGTCTTACAATAGGTCTTCTACTAATTTGTCGATCAACAATGTAGGACCTGTGTTTCGGCCCGAGAATTTTTTAGTGAGATTCTTTTTTAAAACCATTTCATTAAAATGGCATTAATTCATTTAGATAGTCTTAGCACGAAGCATAAAAACCGAGAACGTATATACAATAATATTCTTCTTCGGGATCTTCACTATCATGAACTTCCTTAAGTTTAATTTCATACAAGAACTACCAATTCTGTTTTTTTTTCTTTGTATGATTTCTGTGTTAAAAAAGTTTAAGACACGATGTCAAAGATTCAAAAGTTGTAAATTTCAGTTCAACAATATCTGTATTTTGACCTTATCTTAATTTATATCATTTATATCTAAGCTGACAATTCGATAGTGCTATCAACTTTGTTTCTTTTTACAGAAAACCATTATAAATGGGATTATTTATCGATTTTATTGTACATTGTGTAACTTATTTGTAATGTAATTTTGTTTCGAACATACTTTTCCAAGCCGTGTTCTGTTGCATGTTCTATGTATTGTAACATTGTAGTGTATTGTTGCGTATATAAGTTTCATTTCTGATAATTAATGAAGAATTTATTACTATTCATCTTATCACGTGGTACAAATTCAATATGGCGTCCACGGATCAGGTTTGTCGATTACTTCATCTTGCATCTTAAAACTGGCCGGAAAATTCCATTTATATGCAAAAAAATGTATTCCATAGACATTACTGGGTAGTTAAGAAACATTTAACGGGACAATAATTGGATGAGGGCAAGTAGATGCGATGTGCTTTGTAATCTATTAATTAGGCTACTTAATCAATAATTTTGAATAACATAGGTTATTACACAAAGTATGATACTGTAAGGTGGTATTGTCTAATCAATATCGCGAGCCTAATGCACAAATCAATAGTTCCTATCAAAAACTATTGTTAATAAATAGGATAAAGCAAACAGGGAGATATCGATCGGCATTTTATTCCATTGACTTTTCTACCTGGTTGTCGAGGTGATATTGATAAACAATCCCTCATAGAAACTTCTGACAAACATGACGTGAACCAGTCATTTATATTATTTTCTAGATCATTGTTCTGAATGATTAAATATTTATCACTAATAATTGTAAGATAAAAGTGTTGTTGCTAAGGTAGCTTTAGATCGGTTTTACCTCTGAGGAAATAAAAGAATTTGAAATATTATTAAAATTTTCAAGAATCGATCTTTTTGTTACAAGCAAATATAGTGCTATATTTTAAAATTCATATTGTGTATAGTACAATATACATGTTGTATCATATGTGAGTGTTTTGTATATATTTTTTGTTCCATGTTTCATTATTTTATTTAGATGTTACTAACTCTCTCTGTACCTGTTTGTAATGTCTAAACCAAGTTACCGTAAATTATTAATTTTAGGCTTACGAGACTAAAGGTAGGACCAGTGTGCTCGACAGAAGCGATTCTTCATTTGCCAGTGTAGATATTGCAGACTTTGCTAGCCTTGAAGATGATCCTAAACGAAGTCCTTCGCCTCAACCAACATTTACTAAACATCCACGACGTACACCAGCAAACACGCCTCCACAAAGACGTTCGGAGAAGGTACTGTCGCGGTCCTTTAGTGTGTCTTCCATTGAAGAACAGTTAACTGATAATGAATGTTATATAGTTAAATTAGAACCCGGTTATACTGTTATACCGGAAATTATTTTACCTACGTCGAATCATAAAGGTTATGTTTATCATAATCGGTCTAAATCTGATACTGAAATATCAATACACAAGTCTGACACTTATGGACCTACACATAGGATATCACCATCTAACTTGACGTTAAGACAAAGAGTTAGAAGAAAACGTTCTGAAACGCCAACTCCAAACGAACTTAATTTAGCAGAGAAGGTTATACTACAGAGAAGAGTACTAGCATATGTGCAATCCGTTGAGGAGCGGCAGCAGGTGATGACTTGAACCCTGGACACCAGACGTACAAACGGCATCAAACCTGCCATAATTCATCCCTGTTTGTTACGAATCGTTCCAGTAAACAACCCACCTCATTCACATTGGAATAATTATTAATCAAACTGTATTCCCCTCTTAATCTTCTTTTACCTTTGGCAAGATTACCAGATACACCCTTCTTCAACTTCTTCCCTACCACCTGTATTCACCTGTTTTGAAATGAGCACCTTTTCTACACTCAAACCATTTCTTTTAGCAACAATCCTCCCAGACTCCTTACCTCATCCTCAACAGCTTAGTTTGAATCAAAGAACAGTCTGACAGAGAAGACAAAGCAATAATCTTAGAATTTAGCTTAACTAGAAGTCGAAGAAAGTCCTACCCTGTAGTTCCAACCGTCCAAACGTGTCAGACTTGTTCAAAAATAGAATTAAAGCGGATATCAAAAAGTATCGAAGTATGAAATAAATGACGCCTTTTATACGTCTGTGTGTCTATTTCTATAACTATTTTAACTATCAAATAACATTCTTGTTTGTTTACTAACATAGTCTTGTTGTTGCAAAGTATAACTTAAATCTAAATATATATATATTTGTCCATGTAGCACGTTTTATATTAATAATTGTGGATACTAATCTTATGAATAACATCTTCTAGATTCAAAGTTTGGGTTTAGTTTTTAATTTGTTATGGCTTCTTTTCTAGGTCACAAATGAGGGCATTCATCACAGAGAAATACCAGAAAATACAACACCAAGACAAATATTGGTGGAATTAGATTCTCCACGACAGGTTTGTTTAGGGGAATCTACTAATTTATATTTGTGTCATCAAGTATGATGCCATTTCTATTTTGAATATCAAAAAAATCAATTTACATATGGTATGTAGGTATGCTTATGGTTGAAAGAATTAAACTGGTGATGAGATATTCTCACATCTGAAAAAATCTAATGTTACGTATTTTCTGTCAACAGCAACCACGCGTGATAGACGACAATCATCATACAGTATGGGAAGTGGAAGAAGATTCAAGACCATCATCACAAGCTGAAAACCGGAAGGTATCCTCCCGTCAAAGTGTAAGGGAACAGAAAAGTGTTACAACGGTTATACAGGAAAGACGACACACTGCTACCCCTAGAACACCAACACCAAAGCGGACACCAACACCCAAACGTTCTCCTACCCCTTCAGACTTAAATCCCCATACAGTCTTGCCCCCAATTCATAAAGAAAGTTCTGTCGTAGAAACCGTTGTTCGTAGTGAAAGTCGACATTCACTGAACAAAGATGTACAAATTGATAATTCGGTTGATGAAACTCGTGTAACAAAATATGAAAACAGTAATGTGTCTTCACGAGATATAGAAAAGACAGAAAATCTCACTAAAGAAGAATCCGTAGAAGAGGCTGTTTCAAGAAAGGAAGAAAAAATAGAAAAGCGAAATGAAAGTATTTCCAAAACTGAAACACGCGAAGAAAACACGTCTTCAAAAGATGAATCTAAGGATGAAACGTCATCTTATCAACATGAACAAAATCATTCTCACGACGAATCCAGCTCAAAACTAGAAAAGACAAAGGAAAGCCAAGAGACAACCTCTAATACATCAGATGATAAGAATGACACTGCGATTATTGCCGCTGCATCAGCCGCAGTTGCTGTCCCAGTGGTGGCGGCTACGGCTGCTAAGGTGGCATCGTCAAACAAACCAAAACCAGAGTCTAATAAACCACCGACTAAAGAGGACGAAACGCCTGCTCGATCCACTGGACCTGCTATGGAAGATGGGGAGCGCGCTGATGCCATTGAACAGTTGGAAAGACTTGCGGATCATAAAATTAAAAAAATAATAGATCCGAAGAAAGCTGGGGATGAGCCCCATGTTGACAAGAAAATAAGAGATAAAGTATTCAGCAAGGAATTTCAAGATGACTTGGACAACTTTCTTAAATCGCCTTAGACTAAATATTTTCGTTAGCCTAATATTTCTGTGATAATGTAACATATTGTTTTATGCTTATTGTGATATAAGTTCTTATGTACGACCACCCTGTTTTAATTTAAAAGGCGAATGACGATTTTCGAATACACAGATTATTGTTTTAAGTAATTGAGTGATACTGGTATGTTCCCTGTGATTGCCATTGATTTGATGTGCCATCAAATCAAGTCATCATAAATGAACAAGATGACTGTTTAAAGCGCATGGAGTGTTTTTCGCTGCGAAGAAAGGGTAATCATAATTTTTAAATAGGGTGCATTTGCATACGATCATCGTTGACGGTGTGCGCCCCGTAGATTTATGGATAACCGAAGCGTGCAATTGTCAATATGTACCATTGACCTCATTGTGTTGAAAGCGAGTAACGTTTGTGATTAGAATGTGTGAAATAAATAAACGCCTTGCCATGATTTATTTGCAGAACTGCGACATGAAAATCGTGCCCGCGTAAGGGTGTAAATATAACAACATTATCAGCTAAATGCACGCGACTATAAAATTTAATTTTATTCACACTTCTAGGAATCTCTTAACAAAGACACATGTATTATGCGCTTTCACGGAAGCAATTTTGACCATACTTGGTGAAATAAGTAAAAGATATATTTTCATTCGATCTATTCATGTGAAAGTCGTGCTTATAATAACCGTTTATTGATTTGAATGATGGGTGCTGAAACCCAGTTTGGAGATATATAAGAACCTGTTGTCATCATAAGATTTTTTCTAAAGAACGTCTTGCATTATGTCAAAGCCTTAAATACACCGTTTTCTATTATCATATTAATAGTAATAGGATTTGCCACACTCATTGTTACTGTGATATCATAACTTTGTTTATTATCTTTATAGTAATAAAATATGTTCTTAATATTTACTATATTTAAGAAAATAGCTAGTTTGTTGGTTGGTTGGACGGATCTGACAAGTGCATTGTCTATGGCCTGTTCCCATACTGTACACGTACGAGTAACGCACTGTAAACACGCAATGCATGACCATAATAATTGCTGCAATGGCACACAATGACACTAAATGGTACTACACAAAGGTTAGGTATTGTATTAGCAAGCCGAAATGTATGTCATTGCGCAAACAGAAATCGTGTCAGTGTCAATGTGGCTTGGCGTAACTACGATGATGCGTGCTGGATCAGTGCTTCTCAACCTCATAGAGATCATTCCTCCCCGGAAGAGTTTTCCGAAAATGTATTCCTCTCCAAAATAAATCAGTCGTTTTGAAACGGATTTCACTCGAAAAATGTATTCAATGATTAACCATAAATAGATATAAAATCATACTCCACATATTGAAATAGTTCAATGTGACCCTTAGGCCAGATGTTCTCGATTTCCTGTATTTTTGGGGTGAATGACATCAATTTCAGTCGTAGATCACCTTGACTACAAATTCCTCCTTGGTCCGACGATTCCTCCCCATTACCCCCCTCCGCAATATTTCCTCCCCATGATCTTCCGATTTCTTCTTTAGGAGGAATTCCTCTCCTGTTGAGAAGCACTATGCTATGCTAAAATTCTAGGTTAAATTAAATCTGAGCTTTTTTTATTGATTGTCTTGGATTGTATTTCAACAGATAATGTACATGTATCAGTTATGGACAGTTATCAAATTCTTGAAAGTATTACGAAAGTTTTTCATAAATTACACAAAATTACATCATTGTTACAATACTTCTGGGTCTTTTACTCAAAAAACCGCAGCTCAATGTACATCTCAATTTAGCAGAAACCATTGAATGGTAATTTTTAAAACTATGTAAACATGTTTGTCTTGAACTATTTAATCCTTGCATATAACCTCTAAATATTTTGGCACGATTTGTCTTTGTGGACATTTCATATAATATAATTATAATAGTTACAAGTTTAAAAGTAACAATGACAGCTGTTATTTATCATCAGTGGTATAAACGCGATCTATGTGGATGTACTGGCAATTTTAGCCTTAAAAAAATATTAGTCTTAGAGACTGCTCCACACAATTCTTGACAATTGAGTCAATGCATGTCAACTCAAACCATACACTTGCAAACCTTTATATACGTCGCTTAAGAGTCTTTAAAGATTTTTATAATTAAGGTACCCAATCATGGTCGATATAACAAGTGAAAACTCAAATGTAATTAACTAGAAGAAACATAAAAACCCAACAAATTTATGCGCACAGATCAGATGTCCAATCAATGAAAGTCTATGTACATACCTTCAGTAAACAAGCAAGTAAGATGGGCAATGGGCAATTTGAGAGAGTATGAGATACATACAATAAGATGACAACCTTGTTCATAGCATTCAGTCAATCAGTACAGCCCGAAATATCAATTGAAGATACTGAAAATTTCGTGGACGACGATGACGAAATTACGGAGGAAGATATGGCTGCAGAAATCGAAAGAAACCAAAGAGATGTTGAACATTTATATAAGCAAATGAGAAAATCAAACTTGAAGAGAGAGCTGATGGAAAGTCGAAAGAGGTTAGAAGAGATGAAAATTTTTGCGTTCACAAAAGGTAGGCCTACCATTTTGAACGTAAAATCTGGACTGAAATTGACAGATCTGAGGAAGATGTCACAATTAGGTGCCTAAGTTGACAGTAGAATGACTTCTATTGGATTAGTTGACTGCGACAGCGACTCCGATGTTAGCATGAGTTCTGAGAAGGACAGGTCAAAAACCAAACCACGAAAATCAACAAAATCTGGTATTAACGCGAGATCCAGCGACATGGTCGTTTGCCCACAACGTTGGCCTCACGCTTCCCTCCAATTTCAACATGCAAGCAAGAATTATAATTTTGCTGATTTGCCACTAAATCTTTTTGTAGCAGGGGAATTAGAAATTCTGTCAAATTTAGAAACTTTGAGCGTTGAGAGAGACGGGAGGTTAGCTTTGCTTAAGAAAACTGTATACCTGACTGATGTTTACGAGTGGAAAGGACTATTAGAGTTTTATAAGCCTTTGTCAGAAAAGTAGAGTTGAGAACCGCTGATTGGTCTGATGATAACAGAGATTAGTACCTTACATAAGGAGAACTACTCAGAAACCTACATACAAACCAAAATTTGATTCTCCCAATACAACCAAAGATGATATGGTATGGTTTTGTACCTTATTCCAGCGTAATAAATGCTTGGTCTGGTCATACCTATACCATACGTGGTAAGCCTCGAAGCGTGCTCCACATATGTGCCGCCTGTTGGAAAAAAGGATAGAATAAAGCTAGAGCACCCAGAATGCTCCGATGTATGTCCAAACAAGTCTCTTGATAACATGTAACTGCGATCTTATACCTCGACCGATAATTTGGGTTGTGTTACTCCTCCGGGTATAACCGTTAAAAGTAACTTTGTTGATAATGTTAGTAGTACTAGAGCTTTCAATTAGGTCGCATAAGGGGATTCCCCATTCCATTTCATTTCATGGGGAAAATGCGACCAAAATGAAAGCTCCCATAAAGACCTAAACATCCTACATTTCATAAATTCTTACACTAAAAAAGAGTACTAGAGCTTTCAATTAGGTCGCATAAGGGGATTCCCCATTCCATTTCATTTCATGGGGAAAATGCGACCAAATTGAAAGCTCCCATAAAGACCTAAACATCCTACATTTCATAAATTCTTACACTAAAAAAGACCTAAATTCCCTACATGTCATAAATTCTTACAGCAAAAGACCTAAATTCCCTACATTTCATAAAGTCTTTCACCTAAATTCCCTACATTTCATAAATTCCCTACATTTCATACACTAAAAACACCTTCAATCAATTTCCTACATTCCATCAAAAAAAGCATATTAAAAATAACATTATATAAAATAACCTCGTTTAAGTAATGTAGAAGGGAGTTAACTCTTTTTGGATAAAAAACAGACTAAATTAATTCATTTAAAAATAGGATGAGTTTAATTCTAAAACACGAACAACACAGATTCGAAGATTATTCGGGCGACGGTATCTTTTCTTCATTATTTTCTCTAGGTAAAACAATAATTCCAAAAGTAGCTAGCTTTGTTTCAAAAAACAAATCACTCATTTCAAACGGAGCGAAAGCCATCGGCTCAATCGCTGAAGCGGGAAAGAGTATAAGCGATACAGTGAAACAATCTAACGAGTTGAAAGAATTAGAGCTAATAAGAGAACTGCGAAACAGGAGATTAGAAGAAAGGAAAGGAAAAGGTTTTAAAGTTATAGGATAAAAATGATTGTCGCTCACGCTCCAAATACTTATTTCGGTTCAGGAGATATACAAAAATCATTGGGTTCTCTTCCTGGATTTCCATGGGCGAAATATCCCGGAGAAAAACATCTCCGAGGGCATAATTACACCGGTCCAGGCACTAGGTTAGATCTACGATTAGACGAAAACGATAAACCCAAACCAGGGCAAGAACCAGTCAATAGAGTTGACGCCGCTGCGCTTAAACATGATATTTTATACAGAAACAAAGACATAAACTTCAGACACGAAGCAGACAAACAAATGATAATCGAACTTGAAAATATTCCAAATCCAACTTTCAAAAAGAGAATGCAAAGAGCATTAATCATAAAACTCTTGAAAGCAAAGATGAAATTAGGTATGGGATTAGCGGATGAAATTCATAAAGAATTTAGAAAAACTAAAAACTTTTTAAAAGTCAAAGTGTTTGAAAAAGATGAAATATGGTCAGCCGATTTAATTCATATGCCAGTCGAAAGAGGATTTAAATATTGCTTAACAGTTATAGATTTATATACGAGATATGTATGGGTTATTCCTTTGAAAAACAAAACGGGATTATCAGTCAAACACGCATTTGAAACGATTATGAAACAATCTAAAGACATCCAGAAAAACTATGGGTAGATAAAGGAAGTGAATTTTATAACAAAAATATGAAATCTCTGGGATTTGAAATTTACAGTACGCATAACGAAGGTAAAGCTGTAGTTATTGAAAGATTTAACAGGACTCTAAAAAATAAACTATTCAAAAGGTTCACTGAATTGAAATCCCAAAAATGGCTTAAAATATTACCAGAGGTTGTAGATGAATACAAAAACAAAATTCATTCATCTATAGGTGTCACACCAACACAGGCCTCGAGTAATCCAAATATTATAAAGTCAATTAACGCGCAACATAACAACGAAAATGAAATAAAGAATTTAAATATCAAACCCAAATTTAAAGTTGGAGATCGAGTTCGTATTTTCAAATATAAAAGTAAATTCGAAAAAGGTTACGTTGGATACTGGACGAACGAAATATTCATCGTTGATAAAGTAAACACCTCCGACATATGAATTAATCGATCAAGACAAAGAACAAATCATAGGTAGGTTTTATCAAAATGAACTTCAAAAAACCGACTTTTAAAAATGAATGAATTTCTCGATAAATATGGAACCGATACAACCACAAACTTTCAACTTATGAGATGGCCGAATGAGTTAAATATATCACCGTTTTATTATTGTATGAGAGATGAAATAAATGATCTGAAATATAAGAAAGGTAAATTTTACGCTATAACAAATATACATACTCCCGATCAAAAAGAAGTTCATCATTCTGCTTTGTACAAAGACTCTGACTTTTATTTCTTCGATTCTTATGGATTCGAACCCACTGAAGAGATAATCCAATTGACTAATAAACCAATCAAATGTTCAACATTTCAAATTCAATTACCGGGACAAAAGTTTTGTGGTCAACTTTCACTTTGGGTTTTATATCAGTTGAGTTTAGGAAAACAGTTCGAAGAAATTGTAATAAATTTAACTCAATAAAAATGGCGAATAAGTTTGGATTAGGTTCTTTATCTTTAGAAACTAAAAAACCTAACACAACAGTCAACAATTGGTCAACGTAGCGAATAAAACTGAGTTACAAAATTTAATTTCATATATATCTAAATTAGAGGATAAGATTGCAAAACAAAAATTAGACATTCAACAATTGATAGATAACATTCCAGATGAAAATGAAGATACGTTTCAACAGGAATTAAATGCTATGGAAACTAAACTTAACAGTGAATTACAAAAAGAACTAACAAATATTAAAAAACAAATACAAAACATAGATGATAGCGAAATCAAAACCTATATTCAACAACAAATACAAAACATAGATGATAGCGAAATCAAAACCTATATTCATCAACAAATACAAAATATTGATGATAGTGTTATTCAACAACAGATAACCACTATTAATAACCTAGTTTTAAAACAGGACAAAAATATACTCGCATTAGAAAAAAGGTTTCTCAAGAAAGAATCATATTATTTCAATCTTCCATTTGGAAATTTGAGAGATTACGATGCTTCTATTACTGATAATAGTGATAAATCAAAAGACTATGAATATAAAATATTTGGATTTACAGCAAATATTAGACTATATTCTGCTCCAAAACTATATAAAACTATAGTAGTATATGTCTTTCGGATATGACGCATTTCACTTCTGCGCATGCGCAGCTTTTTCAATGCGTCATTGACTCCCCAAACTGTATTATAACAGACTCCATATAAATTACCCAAACCACAGACAAGAATCACTAATAATAATACAGTAAAAAATAACCGCATTAAAAATGTCTTTAATTCTAAAACACGAACAAAAAAAATTCGAAGGAGACGGTTTCTTCTCTGCGCTAACATCTCTCATCCCCAAAGTGGCCAATTTTGTCTCAAACAACAAATTTCCTCCTTGTATTAAATCTTTCGTATTAAAAATATATAGTGTTTATTTCATTATTGAACAAATATGTCTTTAATAAACATCCATCCCCCTAAAACGTATTTCGGTGCGGGAGACATTCAAAAGTCATTGGGTTCTCTTCCTGGATTCCCATGGGCAAAATATCCCGGAGAAAAACATCTCCCAGGGCACAATTATACAGGTCCAGGCACTAGGTTAGATATGCGTTTAGACGAAAATGATAATCCCAAACCAGGGGAAGAACCCGTTAATAGAGTTGACGCAGCAGCGCTCAAACACGACATACTGTACAGAAACAAAGACGTAACATTCAGACACCAAGCAGACAAACAAATGATAGACGAACTCGAAAATATTCCCAATCCCACTTTCAAAGAGAAATTACAGAGGGCTCTTATCATAAAACTCTTGAAGGCAAAATTGAAATTGGGTATGGGCATAGCAGACGAGATTCACAAAGAATTTCGAAAAAACAAACATTACCTCAAAGTCAAAGTTTTTGATAAAGATGAAATTTGGTCAGCCGATTTAATCAACATGCCAGTCGAGAGAGGGTACAAGTATTGTTTGACGGTGATCGACATATACACGAGATACGCTTGGGTCTTTCCCTTGAAAAACAAATCGGGTCTGACTGTCAAACAAGCATTCGAAACCATAATGAAACAATCCGACAGACGACCCCTAAAGTTGTGGGTTGATAAAGGAAGCGAATTCTACAACAGAAATGTGAAATCTCTGGGGTTTGAAATTTACAGCACGCATAACGAAGGTAAAGCCGTAGTGATAGAAAGATTCAACAGGACTCTTAAAAGCAAATTATTCAAGAAATTCACGGAATTGAAATCTCAAAAATGGCTTAAAATATTACCAGTTGTTGTCGACGAATACAATAACAAAATACATTCGTCTATAGGTGTGACGCCATCGCAAGCCTCTAATAACCCGAATATCATAAAGTCCATCAACACTCGAAACAACTTTGAAAACGAGATTAGCAATTTGAATATTAAACCCAAATTCAAAGTTGGAGATCGAGTTCGTATTTTTAAATATAAATCATTGTTTCAGAAAGGTTACGTCGGCTATTGGACTAACGAGATATTCATCGTTGATAAAGTAAACAACACATCACCTCCCACGTATGAATTGATCGATCAAGACAAAGAACAGATCATAGGAAGGTTTTATCAAAATGAACTTCAAAAAACTGACTTTTATAAATGAATCTCGAAAATGAAGATTTAGATGAAAGGTTAAGAAATTTAGATGTCGACAAGCATTTACGTTCTCTTAAATTAAGATTTTTTAAATTTAAATGTAAATTTATCTTCAAAATATTATTGAATGGGTTTTATCAGAATGTTATACAAGTTTTTTTAAACACAAACTACGTATATATTTTGTCAATTGGGTCTTCAGCAATACTTTCCGCCTACTTCGAAAAACACCTAAAAAAATCGACTTAAAAATGAATGCATTTCTCGATAAATACGGAAAAGACACGACCACAAATTTTCAACTTGTGAAATGGGCCAAGGAGTTGAACGTCTCGCCGTTTTATTATTGCATGCGAGATGAAATTGATGAACTGAAATACAAGAAAGGTAAATTTTACAAACGTTCACACGTCGGATCAAAAAGGAATTCATCACTCTGCTTTACACACAGATTCTTCGAATAACTTTTATTTCTTTGATTCTTTCGGTCTAGAACCGACAGAAGAGATAACGAAATTAACTAGCAAACCAATCAAATGTTCTACGTTTCAAATTCAAATGCCAGGACAAAAGCTGTGTGGACAGCTGTCGCTTTGGGTTTTATATCGGTTGAGTTTGGGAGAAAAGTTTGAAGAAATTATAATAAATTTAACTCAATAAAAATGGCAAACAAGTTTGGATTAGGGTCTTTACCTCTAGAATCTAAAAATCACATGAGTTCTACGTCGTTTATAAACAAAGCGAAACCTTTTTTCGTGGATCAAATCGGAGACACCTTACAAGGGGATATCGATATGAACAATTTCAAAATAACTAATTTAAAGTTTCCAGGAAACGATAACGATGCCGTGAACAAGAAATATTTACTGGATCAAATAAACGCAATTCAAATAGATAAGGACCATGTTGAAAATAGAATAAATGACGTGAAAAGATTCATCAGACGAAATATTAAAAATCTTGTGGACGAACCCAAACTACAACAAGAGTTAACGAGTTTGAAACGCCTTATTCAAGTGGATAAAACAAGTCAGTTGCAAAATTTAATATCTAAATTAGACGATAAGATTACGAAGGTAAAAATAGACGTCCAACGTTTAATAGATAACCCAAATGTAAACGAGGATAGATTGAAACGAAAACTAACCGCTTTGGAAAGAAAACTTGCAGAACTAGACAAGACCGCGGACAAAACCGAGGTACAAAATTCGATATCCAATTTGAACGAAAAGATCGCGAAGCAAAAATCAGATGTTCAAGATATAATTAACACACTTCCCATTGACAAAGATACTTTGAAACGACAATTGTCTGCTTTGGATACTAAAATCACGGACGAATTAGAAAAAGAAGTAGGTGTGATTAAAAACTTTCTTCAAAATAAATTTCGAGATGATATGAAAAATTATATTAAAGAACAGGTCAATCTTTTGGTATCTAGAATTCATGACGATTTTTTGAGACAAGAGAGAAAGTTGAGCAAATTAGAAGCTATTGTCACGGACAAATCGTATTATTTCAATTTACCATTCGAAAGAAAAGATCAAATTTATAAATCAAACAAATACGGATTCAAAGCAGAAATAAAAGTGGGTTCTCTCGCATACGGAGAACCTAAAAACGTATTCGATATCGGCGAAACGCAAGAGTTTTCTTTTCGAGGTAATTGTCTGATTCAAATAGAGTTTCCCATGAAGGTTAAAGTCAATAAAGTAGTCTTCAAACAAACCGGTAAGGGCGTCAAACATATTTCATTATTCAATGATGGTAATTTGGAAGAGAATATACGTTTGATTGATAAAAGGGATCAGGAAATTGAAACGAAAAATGGTAAATATGTAGACACCTTTAAAATGGAAGTAGAAAATGATAAGGATATCATTGGAATCAAAGATTTGGATATAATATTGGAGACGGAAAATCCACCATTAACCAACATTGTCAAAATTCCACCATCACTTATAATACCCGTATACGTACCCGGACCAATAGAATCGAGCAGTCACGAGTTTTTACGAACAACAGACTTTGAATACGTAAAACTGTATTTTGTTTTAGGTGGAAAATACACCTCGATCGATGTTCATAAAAGTCAACAAGAAAGAGAGTTTATAATACATTTATCGTTTGCCGAAGGTTCCGACTCCATCCTTGAAGGTGGTGGTTTTATTTCTAGAGCCAAGATAAACATCGAAAAAGAAAAAATAATATATTCCTATCATCTTAAAGAGGACCATACGAAAAAAGAAATGTCGTTAGTACGCGTAAATGTTTTTACTTTTAATACCCGCAAATATAATAATGCTAGGCCAAACAAGGAGGCTCTATACGATATTCCGTGGTTCCATTTATCGGAAATTCACTTAATTTAACGACTTAAAAAATGGAACTCGAAAGCAGACAACAATACATGATAGACAAACAAGAAGAGTTGAAAATAAAGTTGAGACAGTACAATGCAGGAAAACATGGAGTAGAATCGATTCTGTTTTCAAAACAGCGAGTGTAGTTCTAACGATAGGAACAACACTTGCAACGGCCGTGACTGGTGGATTAATGGTTCCTGTACTTGTCCCAACTGTATTAGCCACAATTACTGCTATTCAAACTTCATCTTGTGGCTTGATTGCTATAGGTTTCACGAGCAAAAAGAAAGCTCATTATAAAAAGAAAACGGATAAGACAAGAACATAACAGTTGAAGAATTACAAGAATTCAATGAAATTTTTGACAAATTCCATACAGAAATATCAGCGTTCAAAATAAAGAAATAATCAAAAATATACACTTAAAAAAATATGAATAAAATCGAACTTGCAGACGATGAAACATTGATAGAAAACGCCCTATTTTCCGATGTTATCAAGGCTATCTCTGATAAATTTAAAACATTCAAAGGACAAATTAAAATAGATGGAGAGATAGTCGAGAAAGGGAATCACAGACAATACATGTCACTCCTCGGTTTCAATGCCAAAACTTTTCACAATATCTTTTTAAATATGGACAAAAAATCCGATGCTTCCGATTGGTATTTTACAGTCAGTGTTTTATCAAATGCGTCAATCGTGTTTTGAACAAAGATTTAACGTGTAAATTTCAAGAATACATCAACGGGTTTTCAAAAGCAAATAGAAAAAGAGTGATGACCTGTGCTAGAATGAATGAATTCAACAAGAAATTCAACACTTCGTTTCAAATTTATAATCCCAAAAACAGACATTTTCACCCCAGAGACGTTCACGATGAATTAGATTGGGTTTTGTACTTACACAACTCGCATTTCTGTTTGATTAGAAGAAGCCAAAAAAGTTTGGGAATTCAAGAAATAGAAGACAATTACGAACAGGTGTGGAAAACGTGTAGAGACGACAACGCAGTAACACAGGTTTCACCCCTCAAACTACACGTGCTTTCGAGTATGAGTGATGATGCGTTATTCGCTTGGGATTGCGAAACGTATTCAGAAAAAGAAACGCGAAGAGCAATTCCTTATGCCTGCACTTTAATTAATTTAGAAAAACTAAGGAAAATGTTAAACAGAATAAATAATCTCTTTCCAGATTTAAAGCCGTCAGATCCCATTCCAGAAGAATTTACAACAAACTCATGACTGATATAGTAGAAATATTTGTAGGTACAGATTGCATCGATCAAATGTTGAAATATTTAGGTCAATATGATAGAAAGAGATTAATATTAATTTCTCATAACGGCAGTGGATTCGACAACTGGATCGTGCTTAAAAATGCAAAAAAACTAACGCATTGCCCTTTAAAAACACCCAGAGGAATTCTATCTTTTCCTTTATCTAATCCATACACGGATGAAGATTTACAGCAAAAATGGAAAAGACAGAAAGAAATAAAGGGTAATTATTTACAACATATTAATTTCACGTGTTCCTATCAACACGAATCCTCTAGTTTGGCTGCATAGGGAAATTCTTCCAATCTTCCCGCGAATTTGAGAAAGATTGCCGACGTAGATATCGCTAAACACGCAAGACAACTGGGAGGAATTGAGACACGAATGGGAACCTTACGCCAAGAGAGACACTCTCTGTTTGGGAGCTTGTTTGATAAAATACAACCAAGTCACGAAAGAAGTTGTAAACCAGAATATGTCCAATAATCTAACGGCTCCATCTTTATCTTTAAAGGGTTGGTATTATTTATATCATTACGATAAAGAAATGGTGGAAGAAGAATGGTATGAAACTACTAGAATGGTTGCGAAACATACCGAAAAAGAAAACGTAGAAAAAGTTTATTCGCACACTAATCCTTTTATAAAAAATTTTATCAGACGATCTATTAAAGGAGGAAGAGTTTCGGCAAATAGAAAATCATTTGAAACGAACAAAATGGATGAAATTTGTAACGTATTAAAGGAATATATTTCACAAACAGAAAGTAATAACATAATTGATTTATTCAAAGAATACAGCGCAAGCACAAAAGACAAAACGGAGGTTCATTCGAGACTTAAAAAAATAGAATGTACTAAACTAATGGCATTTGATGCTAACGGTTTATACGCTTCCGCCATGTCGGATTTAGACAGTGAATATCCGAGAGCGGAAAGTGGAAGAGCGTTTCTACCAGAAGAAGAAAAAGAATTTGTAAAACTCTTCAATAAACAAAAATTCAGACCTAGAACAGCTATTTTAACAGTGTGGTTTGACTATCCCAAAAACATGTTCTTCCAACCGATACCAGCTAAAGATAAAATCACTCTCACGAATAAAGAAGGTAAAAAGGAAACGGGTAATAAAATCAGGTTCAGAAATGGTTTCTGTCACGACGTTTTAACATCGGTCGATATTCAAGAAATAGTGAAAGCCGGTGGACGAATTATTAGAATATTAGATGGTATAGTTTACGAAGAAAATTTTAAAACTCCACCCTATAGAGATTATATTTTAATTTTGAGAGATTTAAGAAATAAATATAAACGAGAAGGTAATATCGTGGGTAGTAACTGCATGAAATTATTAGGTAATTCCTTGTATGGTAAATCAATTCAGAAAGACATATTCACAACTAGACATTTATGGAATGAAGCAACTTTACAGGCCAACTTGATTCACGCGTTAAAACCTATGAGAAAATTAATGATACTCAATATATTGTTGAAACAGAAATTGAAGAAAAAGAGATTACTACCGAAGACAGTAAATCTACACGACTAACACCTAGTCATTTGGGATCATTCGTTTTATCTCACAGTAAAAAAATAATGAACAATTTCATTCACGTCATAAATGGATTTTATAAACCCGAAATATACTATACCGACACCGATAGTTTGTACATTTCATCCAAAAATTGGAAAAAAACTAAACAGAGCTGGTTTGGTCTCCGAAAAAGACTATTGCAAAGGTAAAAACGATTACGGTGACGGTGGAATTATATTTGGCTCATATTTAGCACCAAAAGTCAAATACAACATCGTTTTGACTTCTGATGGTGTCTTAAAAGAAAAGAAAACGTTTAAAGGTTATTCTAATGATAAGATAAGTGTAGAAGATTACGTTCAGTTAGCAAGCGGGCATGATGTGTCGAACGAATTTAATAAACCGTGGGAAAAAAGTTATTTGAATAATGTTAAAAGAAAACCACCAAACAGTGAAGGAATTATGTATCCTTACAACGACAAAGATGAGTATAGTTTTGACGAAAACTATGAATTTGATGATTTCGATTATCTTTCTAATCAAGAAGAGAATGAAGATTGTTTTAAATGAAGTTGAATGACAATTTCTTCGTTGCCAAAGTCTATGAACCTGTTTTTACCGTCTTTGATTTCCAGATTTATATCTTTGATCATGAAAGAATTGACTGGTAAATAGGTCGTTTGAAACGGTTTCTCTATAATTCTGTATCCTATCGGCACCGTAAAAGTCGGTATGCTGTATATGATTTGACGTTTGTGCTTGTTGAAAAATCCACCGTTGATCAAATTACAGTGAATGTTGATCACATCGATATCGTTCTCGATGTTGGCCTTGTGCGGTGCCAATGTCGATTGCGCGTATATTCGTTTATCGAACATAAGTAACGCATTCAACGAATTTTCTATGTTGAAATCGACTTGACTGTTATTTCTCAAGATTAGTTTTATTTTGTTCAGATTCAAATTACCTTCGAATTCGATATTGTTTTTGCCGTTCACGCTTCCTGCGTATTCGGATAGGTAATCGTTGATGGCTATGTATTCGTAGCTCCCCGGTAGTAAGCTTATGGTTTCGAACGTAACTCCGTTATCCGTCGATATTTTTAGTTGATTGTTTTTTTCGTTGATGTTTCTAATGGAATTGTAAACGGAGAAATACTTTAATCCCAGTTCGTACTGTTTATTGCGATCGAGTTCATACTCGTAGTCTAGAGACAATTTGATGTCTGGTTTATTCGAGGTGATAACGAACAATTGTTCTTTATTGGACATTTTTAATGACGTTTATATAGTCTTTTTTAGTGATGATTTTTTTCTCCAAAAGCCGTTTTAATATGGCATTGACTTCGTTGTATTGTCTGTCCGATCGATGACCTTCCTTCATGGCAGCTAATATTATTTCTAATCTATTAAGCAATTCTTTATTGTCGTCGGATAAAAACGTTATACCTTGACCAGATGCCACCTTATCATCGAATTCGTCTATTTCTTGTATGATTGGTGGATAATCTTCTGCATAATCATCTGATTCCTCTTCATCAGGAATAACTTTATTTAAATATGTTTCAACTGTTTTTAATTTTCTTGTTTCGGGTCCCGACTTTCTTATTGCATGTAGAAATTTTGAGTATGCTACTAAATCCTTGTAATCGGCAATTTCAACATCCTCGCCATTCATTAAATCTATTAATCCTTTCGTTAATGTAAATATAAAGTCTTTTGTGTCGATTTTGAATAAAGGGGAATTTGGACTAAATATAATTCTAAATCCATTAAACAATAAACCTTGATTATCAACGATTGGTGAAATGCTCTTTGGTAAATCTGGGTCAGGGTTTGAAAAAAGACGATTTATATCATCTAATGTTCTAATTATAATACCATCATATTCAATCGCTTTGGGAGGTGTAGGTTCTATAGGAGGTTTATATTCTAATTTCCTTTTAATATCCTCTTGAGATTTTAATATGGGTTGAAATAGAGTCTGTAGATGTTCCGTTAATCCGAGTTGTTGCAATCTGTTATTTTCAACTTGGGTCTTTATATTATTCTTAGCTTTGATATATTCTCTATTTCTTTTTAAAATATTATTCCAATCGCTACTCATTTTTAAAAAAATAAAATTAACATATATCGTTCATAACTCTTTCACCCGCAGGTTTTCTAGTATTTACAAATACATATCCATGATCATCTGGATATCTCCATTGAGCTTTACAAATCTTTTTAAATGCATCTCTGTCCATTCCGTGATTTATCGATTGAACGATTTGAGATAAATCTTTGTCGTTTAATTCAAATAATAAAAAACAATTTGCATTTTTTCTAATGAACATAGAATCCATCCCGTAAAAAGATTGGGATTGGTATATGCAGTGACAGTTGTGACGTCTTCCTTTCGTGAAGAATTCTTGTTGAACGGCTTGATTTCTTTGCGCCATGCAGTCGTCAAACACTAGTAAGTTCTTTCGCTCGCTATCAATTTGAGACAAATCTAGATCATTAACATTTTTTCGTAAGAAAAATTTTTTATATCCGTTGGTTTCTTTCCTTCGATGTAGTTATCTATGAAATCTTTCAATTCCATTTCTTCTTCGTTTTCTTCGTAATATTGAAATAGGTCTTGAACATCTCTCTTTGGTAGATATTCTAAAGCTTTGAGAAATTGATAATACGATTGCTCTGGTGTTGTTGTGTAGATATACAAAGAATCGAAATCTAAAAGGTTTGGTGTTGTCAACATGTTAAAAGTGAGATGAGTTTTCCCAGAACCGGAACTACCGCATATACACATGAGCATTGGGTTATTAGGAAATATTTGTGAATGGTTAAATTTTTTACCCATTTTTTATTATTTTAATTTGTTCCAAAAATAACTCCTTCTCCTTTATACTTCGAAAGATATATTCCTTCTCCGGTGTGTATATTTTTTAAAAATATCCCATTACCCTTATGTTTGACTTTGATTTCTCCTGTGTCAATACTAATTTATTTAATCCTTGTTTAACAGTTTTCTTGGTTTCTTCCCCAAATCTTTTTCCAAACTATTTTATTGTACCTATCATTTCTCCCACTCCTGAACCTTTGGCCAACTTTTCCATTGCTAAATTGTGTCTATGATCTTCGGCTGCTTTCTTTTCATCGGCGGCTTTTTTAGCAGCAGCTTTTGCAATAGCAGCTTTCTTTTCGTTGGCAGAACTTACTGCAGCAGATATCCCACCAGTTGCTAGACCCGCCGCGGTAAGTCCACTAAATATTAAAGGAAGGAGAGGTAAAAATCCACCTTCTTTTGCATTTGCTTCAATTCTTTCTAAGTCTATATCGTCTCTGACTTTACAATATTTATATTTATCAATAAGTTTTTTAGTTATGCTGATTTTTTTACCATTATAAGTTATTGTAGTTGGTGAAGCTGTTTCAATAGCTTCTATTATTTTCTTGACTAGAGTTTCTGGTTTCATTTTTAAAGGTGTATTTTTTACTCAATTCTTATCATTCTTCTATCTGCTATTTTAATTAAATGTTTTGCTTCTTCCAATAATAAACAATAACCTGTTACATCTCCTTGTGTTTTTTCAATATGAATATTTATGTTCACTCCTGTTTTGAAAAGATCTTCTTGGTGAGCTGAAAGATCAAAACAGAAGATTGGATGATTAAGTGCAAAATCTACATATTCAAACTGAGGTGGATTTCCAAATAATTCACACATATTTTTATAGTTTCTGTACAATTCATTATAATCCTTTGTGGTTGGATTAATTGTTAAAGGTTGGTTAGGATAATTATCGTTGTTTAATCTTACTTGAACTCTATGGATTAAAGGATCTTGAGTTTGGTTCATTGCCACTCTAAAGACATTATTGTTATTCGTTTGAGAATCTGTTCTTGAGTTCTTGAAACCAACTATTAAATATCTTGCTGGTTTAATAGTGTTAGTGATTGGCCATGTGGTGGATTCTCCAGTTAAAGTCATGCTACCTACAGTGTTACGATGAAGAAAAGCTATTTCAATATCTTTAGTTAACGAGTTGAATATTTTCGTTTCTACTTCAATTGATGGTGTAATTACGGGCATGAAAAGTTGGAGATTCGTTATTTCTAATTTTGCATCTGAACCATTCTCTCCAAAAAATATCTTATCGTCGTTGATTTCTCTTTGTAGATGAATTTTATATGGTAAGCCTATAGAAACTTTTCTATGTTCCAACAGACCGAATAAAGGATATAATTTCCAATTTACGTAATTACCCCACCTATTATTCTCAACAACATTATTATACTGAAGTACTCGTTTTTCGAATCCATGATTAACTGCTCGTCCTACTCTTTCTATCGTGTTTCGAGCAACAACTCTCACTCTAGCTAAATCGGCATCATTTGCAAGATTTCTTACCGGTTCCTTTAAAATACTTCCATCACCAACATCGGGTATCCAACCTGAGACTGAATCGAAATCTTTAGGATATAAAACTGTTTTCAACATTGTGTCGAATTCCCCAGGATGTTTGATTGTTTCTATCGGATTTGAACCAGCTTCCAAAACCATCTCGCTAAATAAAGATGGAAAGAAATTGTTTTCTAACGTTGTATTAGTTTGTGGAACACGATTTTCATTGGGAGTTCCATCTTTAATTTTGAAATCGCATCTGAAATAAGCATCGGAAAGAAGCAACCAATTCGATAATGAATTTATTTCGAAGGTAATTCTACTACCATCATTCAATTGGGATTTAGAACCAACAGTGGGTGAGATGATAATATAATCCTCTTTTTTCTTGTTAAATGAATAACGAATTGGATCGTATAATCTAAAGATTGGATCTAGTATTTTATTTGCCATTTTTAAGGTTTAAAATTTCAGTAGAAAATTTTAATATGCTTTTTTTGATGGAATGTAGGAAATTGATTGAAGGTGTTTTTAGTGTATGAAATGTAGGGAATTTATGAAATGTAGGGAATTTAGGTGAAAGACTTTATGAAATGTAGGGAATTTAGGTCTTTTGCTGTAAGAATTTATGAAATGTAGGGAATTTAGGTCTTTTTTAGTGTAAGAATTTATTAAATGTAGGCTGTTTAGGTCTTTATGGGAGCTTTCAATTTGGTCGCATTTTCCCCATGGAATGAAATGGAATGGGGAATCCCCTTATGCGACCTAATTGAAAGCTCTAGTACTCTTTTTTAGTGTAAGAATTTATGAAATGTAGGATGTTTAGGTCTTTATGGGGGCTTTCATTTTGGTCGCATTTTCACCATGAAATAAAATGGAATGGGGAATCCCCTTATGCGACCTAATTGAAAGCTCTAGTACTACTAATGTTGACGAACTTGTAAAAGCAAATGAATCAATTCGAAATTCTAGTTTACCAAACTTTATGTGGTGTAAAATTCCAGTTTACTCCAAAGTAAACGTAGACTATCTAAGACACACATTGGCAGATTATATGGATTCAATAATATGCGACCTTGTACAATTTGGATTTCCTTTAGACTTTTCAGGCAAAGTACCACAAATTCGGAAACCTCGGAACCACAAGGGAGCTGCAAACTTTCCATTTTCAGTTGATTTGTATGTTGAGAAAGAGTTGAGCTATGATGCTATTGTGGGTCCTTTCACTAGTCCCCCGTTTAATGAATTTTGCTTATCCCCTTTTAATACGGTTCCTAAAAGCGACACTGAACGTAGAATAATAATGGATATGAGTTTTCCTCCAGGAAGATCTGTGAATGACGGTATTTAAAAAATATAATTATTTAGGCGAACAAGTAGAGCTGAAATATCCTAATGTGGATGATTTTGTTGATATTGTCAAATACAAAGGCAGGGGATGCTTACTGTTTACTTACTTGGAAAACTTAAGTTTGTGGCATGTTGTGTCAGACCTGGCTGTCAGTAGCATATTAAATTGGTTGAAGGCGGTGAATAACATTTCTGGTCCTGGTCCATTTCTGTCGTGAATTCTGGTCGTTCGAGAATGTATTATCGCAAGCTTGACTTTGGGAAATATGCTATCTTACAGCAATTTATGAATTTGAGGTTCGCTGTCGGCACATACCCGGTGAACAAAACCGCATACCAGATTTTCTCGCAAGATGGTCTTTAGACTTGTCTTATAAAGACAAATTCTTTGTCGAATGTACTTTACCCTTAGATTATTTTTATGAATTTCATGATTGGTAATGTTAATTAAATCAACTTTGATTTGTAGGTACTTTACCCTTAGATGCTAAAAAATCTTCTTCCATTGGTACCAACCGAAATTTAAGATGTCAGTGGAAAGCATTCTTTTTGTTCTGTACCTTTTTTGAATTAATCACCTTACCAGCCTCTCTTGAAACCATAATCATGTACGTTCAATTTTTAAGTCGCAGTTTTGAGTTAACAATATCTGTTAAGAATTACCTATATGGTGTCAAATTGTTGCATAAACTGTTAGAATAAGATTTCGACCACATGGAATCTTTAGAACTCAAATTAATGTTACGTGGAATTGCACGACTGAACCCTCATTGTCAAAAGAGAGCCAGTCCTATTACTCCGGAATTATTAGTTGAATTTTATCATATTTTGCATATGCTTCCTGGGCTTTTAGGTTTCAAGTCCCTGCTGACCTTATTCAGCTCCATGGCTATTGGAGATCGGATGCTTAAAAGCGTTACTTAGAATTTCCACTGGACTGTAGATTGGAAGTTGCAAAAAAATGGCCATGCCTTTAAACAAATCCATATATTCTTGTGTTGGCTGGACTGCGGCTTGGCGGGCTTTGGTATATATATTTTGAAATATTGCATACATTTTTCATATTTAGAAGTATCTAATTTTATATTTCCTATTGATTTGTAGTCACGTACTTATGTATTAGAATCTTATTTTGTATTTCCACTATTTTTCATTTTGTTACTTCCAATTTTCGTCCAAAACTTAATAAAGTTTCGTACTTAGGTGTTTGTTTACTTGGGTCAGATAATTAGAATTTTTAGGAAATATAGAGCTGGTGTATGCACAGAGCTGAAATTAGTGAAAGATATTAAACTCTTTGCATAACAACAAAACAGTGATTTTGTTTGTATCTAATTAATATCAGATACAAAATGAATCATCTTTACATTATAAGTACCGTTGCTGTTCAATTCTGAAAAATATACTGAATAGGCTTATAACATCGGATTGTAATGGCATTATGCATTAAGTGATATATGAAACAAAACATGTTAAAGGAACTAAGTTTGCATTTGCCAATAAAATGAATGCTAAATTTGCACTAATATTTGGAAACCTTGCCCAAAATTATCGAATAAACTAAATGCCATAAAAAAAAATACCCGCACGCACGAATCACCAATATAAAAATACAATCCATAAAATAAACACCACAAATTAAACACAGTTTACAAAACTATCACCACGTAAGGTGCCATTTGGTATTTCGTAACCTAACTCAGAGTTTTAACTCTTATTAAGTCAGCTATATAACGTCAAGTCGCAAAATTGAATAGCAAAATCTCAGCATGGAAAATAGTTGTAAATGATTTGACTAAAAATCAATCATGCATAGATTTTAGAGAAAATCTGTTTTGAATTTATTTTACTATGTATTTTTTTCGTCTTTTTACTCTATCAAATTTGTTTAAATTTTGATGCGAAAATAAGATTAGATATTTACGGAAGCGTATTAGGGCCATTCAATTTTTTTGTTTAATTTTCAAGTTAGTACTAACTTGAAAATTCAAGTTACTGACTTGAAAATTAAAAAAAAAAAAAATTGAATGGCCCTAATATGCTTCCGTAGTATTACAACTGTATTTTTACTTTTAATATTTTTTTTCGACACAAACATTTTTTGTCGGCAAGGACAATGGCGACGTATATTTTGACATGTGTAAAACACTTATGGTAACTCTTCTGAAAACAAACAATAAACTACGTCATATCCCTGACTTAAAAGTCAATATTCGTAACGACTTTGATGTTTGTTCTCAATTATGATTATTTGGTATGTACCATATGTTAATGACTTAATATATGTATATTATTCGGTAAAGAAATTTATAAAAACATCATACACATGAAATCTGCCAATATAAAAGGTATGATGTATTGGGTTGTGTTGTAGGTCCGAAATGATATATATTTTTTCTTCGGAGCTGACACTGCTTTCTACGCATTACTTACCTAATCAGAAATATGCCCCAAGTACGAATTATCTTTTCCTCCAGGCATGTTGGCGTATGTTTCTATTTCTATCACATCATGTTATAAAAACGCAAGATTTTGCAAACAAACTGAGACACAACTTGCACTTCATAGGATATTGAGATTCACGATGTTTTCTCTAGTATTATTGGTTGTTACACCATGGCTTGTATTTTGCATGCCACCACCAACTACAACATCACCAACCCCAACACCACCAAATACTACAACACCAACCAATTGTACATGTTCTGATGGTACTCAAATATTACCTGGAGAGTATCATTCCCTTACGGACTGTGATTTTTGTTATTGTAATGAAGATAATTTAGAAGCATACGAAACACATGGTGACTGTTACATAGCCGCCCCATGTGTTGATTCTGTAAAAAATACCAGGAGAGTGTTGTCCTTACTGCCCAAATGGTAAGTGTGTTGCTGTTCCTTTTCAATATTTATATTTATTATATTTGACCAGTTTTTTTAGATGGTGGAATAAGATAGGAAAACGCAATGTCTAGATTTACCAGGGCAGCGATATTGACTTATTGTGAAATGGTGTGTACATTTGAGAATAGGAACCAAGTTCTAGATCCTACCTGCATTTTATGTGGGTCATGAATTGCGTGACGCCATAGGCTTAACACTTTGAATGATTTATCGTTACAGGTCATTGATAGGCTCGTCTCTTTCGATTTTTAACATTCAACTAGACTGTCTGTATTGGCATTTCCTTGCATCTAATGTACGGGGACAGCGTTTTAAAAGCCCTTTCATGTATCATAACACCTCATTTCCTTTGCTTTAGGACACAATTGTCGAGCTGCATTTTTAGATATTAATGGCACAGTACGGATTGAAATTATTTCTGTCAGTGATGGGTTAGTTGATTTTGGTTTAGTCGATTGCCAATGCGACAATGATATTTACCATGGTAATTATGCAGAACCACTAGCAGCTTGTCGACCTAAACTACCCACAATCGGTAAGAAGATTATCGTTCTATTGTCAGGTTTTAACGAACTTTTAATGTGTGATAATTAAATCACGATTCCGTTTACATGGTATCACGCAATTTGATTGGATAACAGCGGTCACGTGAATTCGGTTTATATGTGTAAACGGAACGTAAATATAAGCTCCGCCCTCAACGTACTATTTTTTAGCACATCAGAAGGGCTCCCTTCTCCTCTGTAGGTGTGGCGATCATTGGGGACTTAGTCCTCGAGAGATCGCCAAGAAGAATCACAGATGAAGAACGCAGTATAAAGACTACAGAAGAAGAATCAGAAGAAACCATGGGAGCAACCCGTTCCCGACTCAACGTCTGTGATATGGAATTTTTCCGAAGCGGACACCATCCACTAACAAGAAAAAGAAGCAGTACTATACTTTTATCATAGAGTTTGATTGACGCGGCCACTACACAGCGTCGATATCGTTCCTTCGAACGTCACCAGAGTCGGAATCGACACTTCACTGAAATATTAACAAAATCATGATTTTTGGACTTATTTCGAACTTGTCTTACAATAATTGAAATTTAGATGTGGCCGCTCCGTCAATTTTCATGCAATATACAGTAGACTATAAATAGTATGACCTACTTATTGCTGATTGGTTGTTCTCGTGGACGTCTCTATTGTTAGTATCAATTCATTAGCGTTATGTTAAAATCTTATGTATTTATGCGCCAATTTTGTGCCTTAGTCTGTTGCTATTTTAGATAAATATTCAAACATGTATTCGAGTTGATTTAATTATAAGGAATGACCTGAACTTTATTTCTGTTTATACATCGATAAATTGAAAAAATGTTCAGGATATTCCTTAATTAACCTTTTAGATACTTACTTTGGTACATATTGTTTTCACTTTGTATTTTATGGGTGGGTGTTTAAGGTTTTTTAGGGGAAGGGGGCGTGGTTTAGTGAATGAAGAAGTCTTCATGTCTCTTCACAACTGACCACGAATCACAATACAATTGGTAATCGATTTATCAATTTATTGCCATTATTAAACTCAAATATGATCTTATTAATATATGTATATATATATCAAGGTATAAACTTTAGCCTTTATCATACCAGCCACAGTTGAAGCGCTTACTTAATCGAGGGCAATAACTCAATAACGTTTTATCCGATTATTACCAAATTGAAATCGGTCATTTAATACATAATACCAAGTTTACCAAGATCGATTGAGGATGGGAACGCCCACATTATAACGTGCTCGTATATTGTCGTCGCCCCTGTTTGTCTGTCTGTCTTTCTGTGGACACGATTGAGAGCTGGTTTTGACAAAACGTGATGTTAGTGTTCGTAATCACCCAATCTGAAAATCAGACAAATCGAAAAAATATTTAATATGAGTTATTGTTTGTACTTGAAAACGCGTTAAATTTTTGATTGAAAATGTGTAGTGGTCACAAGAGGGCTGGTTTTTTGAGGGATTTCGATAAAATTTGGTGTCGACGATTGTTATCACATTGAAGATCAGAAAAATAAAAAAAAATATTTGATACGAGTTCTCGCCTTTGTTCTTAAAAACGTGTCCATTTTTTTTTTCAAATTGTGTTGTGGAAACGATAGGGAGCTGGTTCCTTGATGGATTTTGATAAACTTTTGTGTCAATGCGTGTTATCACATAAGGATGAACCCTAATTAAAATCAGACAAATCAGAAATATTTGAAATGAGTTCTTGCCCTTGTTCTTGAAAACATGTTCAATTTTTAATTGAAAATGTGTGGCGGTCACAATAGACAGAGCTGGTTTCTTGAGAGATTTTAATCAAATTTGGTGTCAATGTGTGTTATCACCCAAGGCTGAACCCTATTGAAAATCTGATAAATTGAAAAATATTTGATATTGTTCTTGTCTTGTAATGGTCTAGAAGGCACAATTCTTGACAGATTAGACGAAATGTGGTGAAATTGTTCATTAATTCCCAATGATGTTCCTCATAGATATTATGAAAACCCTACAAAAAGTATTTAATATGAGTTATTGCCCTTGCTCTTGAAATCACATTCAAGGAACAATTCTCAAAAGATTTTAAAGAAACTTGGTTGCATCACCCGAACCTTTTTGAAAGGCAGATAAATGTGTTTAATCTATAGCTCGTAAAACCCGAGAAGACAAAATTATGGACTGACGAAACTTGTTTAAAATAAAAGAAAATGTGTTTGAATAGAGCTTGTGCAGTATGAAAATGTTACTCTCGAAATATCTCTTGCCAAACGCCCGAATGACTTGGCTGCCATTACGATGGTGAGCGTATTACGATGGGCCATCGCTATTTTTTTTTAAAGTAATTCAAGAGCAATAACTCTGTTACCGTTCATAACTAAATTTGACCGAGATTCCATCGATATAAACATGCATACCTATTTCATCTGGAACAGAAACAAATTGCAGTCTCTATTGTGTCTACAAGAAACTGACGAAAGGACAAAGTCGACGGCAACATGCGTTACACTATTGTGTAAATATATAACTACAGGAAAAGGACAAAACAAAATACAAATATGCTACAAAACTATACAAATGAAACAAAACTACAAAGATAGCTTACCAGGCAAGGTAACATACGCCCACTGGCAGCTGTCAGAAATGATAAAACAGTCTTTAATGACTAAAGTATGAATTGTCTCATATTAAAGAAATTTTAATCGTTTGAATACATTGATATATATATAATTACTGCCAGTTATTTATGCTGAGAAATACCACAAAATTTTTAAAAATCAATATCAATAATCCAAACACATCAAATTATCGCATCAATATACATGATCACACCATGTTTCATTAAAATCAATTGAAAACTGTAGTCTGTTATGTCTTCACAAACAAATTTTGACGCGTTTTTCCTAAATCAAGGGCAATAACTCAAACAACCGTTCGTCGAAGGATCGTCAAATTCGAACTTGACCAAGATCTCATCAATATGAATGATCACACCAAATTTCATTAAAATCAGTTGAAAACTGTAGTCTCTATTGTGTTCACAAACAAATTTTGACGCGTTTTTCCTAATTCAAGGGCAATAACTCAAAAACCGTTCATCGAAAGATCGTCAAATTCGAATTTGACCAAGATCTCATCAATATAAATGATCACACCAAATTTCATTGAAATCAGTTCAAAACTGTAGTCTCTTGAGTTCACAAGAACTGTTGACGGACCGACGGACGGACGGATCGACGGACAGGGAAACGGCAATAAACGTCCACATTTCCATGTGGGCGTATTAAAATGATACAAAACAATATGAATGTATTCAGAGTGAAAACAGATCATGATAGACAAAAGTAGAATTATACAGAAAAACAAAGTAGCAATGAGAGGAAAACGAATTCAAATTTAATTCTCACTAGGCATCCGTGCCTTCTTTAGTCCATTTTAGTAATGGCGTAAGACAATTTAAGAGATTTGGTGTAAAATGAAGAAATAAATAAACTATATGTTTCAGGAGACAACTGTCAAGCTGAATTTAAAGATGATAATGGTGTAGAAAGAAGCGAACTTATCTATTTTAGTGATGGTGTAGTAAAGTTCAACTCAACTGAATGTAAATGTGTTTACCGAGAGTACTACTACTATAGAGAACCAAAAGCAAATTGTGTACAAGTATTGAGTATTGAGCCGGTAACTGCAGAGCAAACAACTCCATAATTTATCTTTATTTGGAAGTAAAATCTGTTGAAAACCTTTTGTGTTAATATAATTTAAAAAATAGGATTCTCTTTTTTGATCAGGAAATCTCGTGTCCATTGAGTCTACAGCACTTACCTACCTAGCTTAATTTCAAATGGAACAGAAGGAAAATATCTAGACCGCTTATTCTTATTTCTCAAGGAAGTATTTTGTTCTGTCGTAGGTCTCTGCTTTTGCAAGAATCGCCCCCCCCCCCTTTCCAGAAATCTATAAACATCCTTTCTTACAATATTTTAACTGTATATTGTACTGGAAATATGTTAAGGAAATGAAATGAATGGAGTTTTACGTCTTACTTTTCTGCACCATGTGGGCTAATGAAGACGGGCAACGCCATGCAGGGTGCAATGAGGGAAATTTTGCCAGGACAGCGGCATTAGTCAGCTCTTTTTCGATTTCCAACTGTCGAGGGATCTTTAACGTGCACAGCCTGTAGCACACATTGCCTCGATTTATTGTCCCATCCGTACGACTAGACGCTTTTTCCATGTCAGCCCCTCTTACCTGCATCACTGACAGGGGAAAACCGGGTTGAGAAATCTGAAGGTATTATCCCGACCTAACCCTGGACCTTCAGCTTAGCGAGCAAGCGTCTAACTCACTGAGCCACCGCGGCTCCAAATATGTTAAAGAGCAACGGCAATAAGTAACCCAATAAGTCAGTCTTCCCCTTAGTTGTACCCCTGTCTAAAGAGGCGAAGCCGCTACATTGCTTGATTACTCGGGTAATGAATGGGGATACAAGGGATGACATGCTTCCAGTATAATATCCAGTCCTATTGGTCTTGCTGTACTCAATCCAGTGGGATTGTCCTTTGTTGCCATTTCTACTAAAGTGGATTTTTGGTAAGAGTTCCCACGTTCTTTCAGTTTCGAGAAGAGTTTTTATTTTGTTTTTTCTATGGAGTCTCCTTTGTAGATAGTTATGTAGGGAATATATACTGTTTTGACTGACATTAGCGGTTAGTTTGATGGACGAACATTGGTTGTTAAGAAGTTTGAAAAATTACCAAAAATGTTCCACACGATATGTCCATACCATTGAAAATGTCGTATAAAAAGCGACCATAAAACAATACGTCAAAAGGAAAAATGGGTAATACCTCACGTTCCCAATGTAGACAAGTTTTTGTTGTTGGGCTCTACTTGCAGGGTGCACGATAAGAAATACTCGTCTATATCAACTATAATTTATCTACATTCAATAACTGGAGATCTTCACTAATCCAAGAAGTATACCAAAGATTCTTAGAATATAAGAACGATCCGATCCTCTTCCCAGCTTAAGAATGAATCATCCAAACCCTAACTTTTCTCCTATTTATCTCTCCCACCAGATGGCCAACATATGAAAGATCCCTTGCTGTTCCTTAACCATAACCTAATAGCCATGCCTGACTGAGCATAAACGATTCCTTTTCTATACCCCTATAGTTTCTTAATCTCTCAGTGTCTCCTTCCCTGCCGACATGGTATAGTTCTCCTTTTATACATACCTTCTGCTTCCAATTACCTACATAACCACCACGCCGATGTTAATTTAAAAGTTTTGCAGATTACAGATTTTCTCTAATTGACGATTACAGATTGAAGGCTACCACCCGTGATTAGTTATAGTTTTTTCTGGACTAATGTAGGGTAGTATGGTAGTGGTCGATCAGAACCTGTATCGCCATAGAGAGCCATGTCCAGCTGAGAGATCTCATATTCTGTTTGGCAGCATCATTGCTGATAAAAATAGAGGCTTTGCGTGTGAAGGCGAATGCAGATTGACCTTCCTTCTGTAGGGTAAGTGATGGAGGCACTGCAGATCTTGGAAGAACACCTTAACAATGGGCTGTTCCTCTTTTTCAATGGGGACTGGATGGCGTATGAAGTTAAGAAATTCAGTTTCTTTGTAGTCTTTGAATAAGTCACCGCCTTGATTGTACCTTTTTAATTTTCAACCACACTAAAGTCAAATATGGTTGATTTCAAATCCATATATTCCCATCTTTATTTATCTGCAATTGATTGTGCCCCATGGATCTTGATTTCTCTGAAGCCAAATAAAGTCTTGAGTTTATTCACTGTATGTAAACAATTTCAACTTCGATGCTGCAAAATTGTATATCACACGATAATGTGTCAGATATGGGACGTGATCATATTCTTGAAAGTAGACCCCCTACAACTCTACTCCGGTAGATTGTGACCGACTTTACAACTAGTTGAAAAATTGCAAGTTTACATCCAGAACATAATTGACATAACTGTTCAATAGAAGAACTTTTAAAGTAGATATGTATTTAAATTATAATGCAAAATGACACTAATAGTTTCATACTACATATTCCATGCATGATAAAAGCTTGAATGTTGATTCATAATCAGTTAAGAACACCTTCTCTTTAGGACTCTTAGATTTAATTTTTCCTAAAAGGTATGCTAAAAAAAGTAGTGAGCACCATTATATATTATATAATTACAAACTACAACATCTACCGGTAGTTAAAAAAATTTTGTAATAAAAACAAACAAAAAATTCAGTATTTTGTCTCCCACAAAGTAGCCAAAAGTAACACTGTCAAGTAACCTTTTTTGGTGAAAGTCTAATTTCGTGCATCTCCGGAAATGATACATGTGTGACAACCGCATTTGCATGCTTTGATATACAGGGGCTATCTTTACATTGTCAACCTGCAGAATTTCAAATTTATTATCTTTTTCTAAATACATATTTCAGTTATTACAAAAAATATGACAATTTCTTATCGGCCAAATTTCCAAGCTGTAATCAGAATTGCAAGTTTGGTCTAATAGAATACATTCCACTGAACAAAATCACGTGACAAACTAGCGGAAATCCATGTCAGCAGAAAAATTCTATGGAATACAATGTGGGCATTGGGAAATATTTCTTATGTGATTTCAATGAATATTAGTAATAAATTACTCTTACGTTTTACTTATTATATTTTTTCACTATTTTTTTTAAATCATTGTTCTTTGAATCAATGGCCATTAGTTATAACGAAATATTGGCCCGTATGCATCATATAAAATCAAATTAAGAAGAACAGAATTATTTTAAACCTTCAATAGATTTAGTTAAATGTATTTAAAGATAATTGTATTTTTTGTATTGACCAACTATAACAATTAACTAATATATTTATCTGTACTGTAATTGAAATTCTATATTCCATTCGAACCACACACTATACACAATCTATATATGACAAAAGAGCCTAAAGATTGGTCACTAAGACAAATTTCTTATTTAACATTTTAATCACTGCTGTATGTAGTGTGGATGTCTTGTAGTCCGAAACTCTACAGACACTCATCTGGTGTCTTATATGATAATTATCAACAAGAGTAAGATCAAACGATATTTTCAATCCTATTCTTCGAAGGAGCAAATGAACGTCATAATAAATTTGATGTGGAATCCATGTCATGTTTCATTTTTTGATATTCAACACCGATTGCTTATTCAATCTAAACTTTGCTTTAAATTCCTCTTCCGAAAACCATGTGAAGGGGTCCAGGCGATCCCTGACATGTCTATTGATGGGAATAACACGGTTGATTTCACCAAGTTCATCTAAATCGTCGAAAATAATCGTCCATTTTGAAACATCGAAGAGCCACAAAAGGAATTTCTATTGATTTACAAATAGAATTAAAAGTTAAAACTGGTCTCGACCAACATTAAGTTTAGCGTTAAATTACCCAATTTTTAAATACATTTAAGGTAATTCTATGTGGTGCATACAAAATATAGAATTAAACTAGAAGTTAATGTTATTCGGTCAGAACAGAATTATATTAGGCTTAATTTCATTTGGTGCATACGGGCCATTATTAAAGATGAATACTAAGAAATGATAATTATACCATTGGGTATCCATAAAATATGTTTTTCTCGACTTATTTACAGATTAAATATTGTACACGAGGTGAGGCATTTTGAAGCCGTTGTTGAGTTGGTTTTTTCGCGAAATTTCGGTCAAGGTGAGGGATTCATCATCAATATCGAAACAAGCCAATTCTAATTATTTTAAAGAATATCTAAGGCGTGAACGAAAAAATTACATTTTTTAATTTTGACGAAATTCGGTGTTGAATCCTTAGATGTACGAATATAGGTTCCACCACTGTATAATTGTCAACCATTCAATTTAACATAGCTCTAAATTGCCGACTGCTTGCAAAAGGGTTCTCAAGTACTTGACTAAAATATTAAATACGACTGACCATTTCGACTAATTGTGACGACCTCGGGGCCTACTTGAATGAGATTAGGAAAGTTCATAAATTACATGTTTTCTTTGCGCACATCATTAACCTGCATCTCATTTTATCATTGATAGCCGTATGCGGTATATTTTAAGTTTTTGAATATATTTGTATCATTACCTCCCTGTTGAAAAAATTAGGTTTTTGATTTGAATTGGATCTGTAGGCTACATTATCAAGTCATGGTCATATCATTTGAAATGTAAAAATTAAGAGTGACGCACGTATTTACAAAGAATCTTCTGATTTCAACTAGACAGTACGATTGAAAGTGGTAATCTATAAGAAATTTTAACGAAACATCTCAAATTCCAGCAAATAGAAATTAGTTTGCCAGAAGAGGAAACCACAACACACCGTCAGAGAAGCCTTTTGGATTTAGAAACTGAAAAAAGCAAAGCCAACTGAATATGCATTTCACCCTAAGTAGTCTCATCCTTACCTCTAGTAAGGAGTGTCTACAAAAGACTTTCCCAAGTCTATAAGCAAAAGTCAAACAGTACATAACACTTACTTTGTCTAGCACAAACACTTTTTTATCAACAAAATCGATAAAAGACCACTCTTAGATTGATACAATCATACTCATCAAAACTAGAAATAATCTATCAATTTCAGATTATCCCAAAACATTAAAGTTGAATACACTAAAATATCGAGCAATCAAATAAAGATAACAGTTGATTCCGACACTAATATTATTTATCTAAGAATTGTCACTAAATCTGACGCCTATAGTTATGACTGTATTACTACTCTGGTACGTTTTCGACATTAACATTTTGATGTTTTGTCGGCAAACACAATGTCGACATGTATATTTGGACATGTGTCGAACGCTAATGATAATTGTTTTTCTGAAAGTCTGCAATTTTATTAATTATACTAGTAAGACAATTTTCGTAACGACTTTGACGTTTGGTTTCCATAATTAAGTTTATTTGGCATGTACCATATGATAACGACCTCATAAATATCATTAGGTAAACAAATTTATAAAAATATTATACACCAACATGGAAAGTGATAAAGGACAAGGTACGATGAAAGCAAAACGTATCATCCTGTGTAGACCTGTGCACAATATATTCGCTTTTTTATTTTCTGTAAGACAATGTTACTCGACTATTCAAGCAGAGTCAAGATAGATACAGCACATGTATTATGGCCCTCGAATGTAGTTTGGCAGTGTTATATCAATATTTATTTTGTCCATATATTTCTCCAGACATTTAAAATATAATCAATAAATACCATTGCCTCCAGTTATGCTGGTGTATGTTTCTTTTTCTATCACATCATGTTATAAAAACGGAGATTTTGCAAATCTGAGACACGATTGGCACTTCAGAGGATATTGAGGTTCACAATGTTTTCTCTAGTTGTATTGGTTGTAGCACCATGGCTTGTGCTTTGCATGCCACCACCAACTACAACACCATCAGCCCCAACAACATCAGCTATATGTACCTGTTCTGATGGAACACAACTAGCACCCGGAGAAGTTCATTCCATAATAGACTGTCTTGGATGTTATTGTGATAGAATTAAATTGGAAGCTGTTGAAGCAGTAGGGGACTGTTATTGAATTGAATGTGTCGATTCTGTAAAGACACCAGGACTATGTTGTCCTCAGTACCCAAATGGTAAGTGTGTTAAAAATCCATACTCGATATTTTTTATTATTTGTTTTAGGTCTTTTTGTGCATTTAATTTGAGTTGTTGACATTAGGAGGTACACCATCACAGCGAAAAACTCTTGTGAAATTATCTTTACGCTCAAAAACCTACCTTTCTGCATTTTTAACAATCCACATTTGAGCATTGTCACTATATTGCATCATGTGTATTTGGACCGGGTTGTAAAAAACCCTTTAACAAAAGCATCATAATACCTATTTTTTCGTTGCTTTAGGACACAATTGTCTAGCTGAATTTGTAGATTTTAACGGCACAGCACGGAGTGAAATTATTTCTGTTAGTGACGGTATAGTTGATTTTGGTGTAGTTCAATGTCAATGCTACGGCTATCTATATTATTACTCTCGAAATGGAGAACCACGAGCAGGGTGTATACCAAAACCACCCACTACACAACCAGCTATGTGTACATGTATTGATGGTACTCAAGTACCATATAGAGAAACGGTTTGGATAACAGCCTGTCACATCCTGGATGCATGTGTGATGATTATAGTTTAGAAGCTCGAGAAATAACAGTTGATTGATTAATGGTGACACCATGTGTAGATTCTGTAAACGTACTGACTAACTGTCCAAATGGTAAGATAGGTATTTTGCTGTTCTTTCTGTAAAAGCCTTTAGTTTCGTCTAAAATCATATCTACAAAATATGACTCATTTTAATCGCCCTATATATTGTTGATACATTTATTATATATTCAAAATGATAACCTCTAATTATTGCTTAATATGCCTGTTGGGGGAAGATAAATATACAACAGAATCCATCTATAATCCAATAAATCCGTAAAAAAAACTAAGTAATAATCCATTTGAAACATAAACATGCTTAGAAGCGTGTTTCAATAATTAATTATTTAGTTAAATGGATATATCGTGCTATACATATATAGCGATTTTATTCTTATCATGTCACTTGGTAAGTTCAATATGTATTTATATACTTCAAATTCAAATTTTATGTCCATTCTAAGAGGAAGTATCCTTTTAAGTTGGGACCAGTCCGAAAGTTTATAGCAGGCTCAACATATACAAATGTATAATATATGTTTTCAGGAGAGAACTGACGAGCTGAATTTAAAGATGATAACGGTGTTGAAAGAAGTGAAATTATCAAAGCTAGTGATTGTGTAGTCAAGTTCAACTCAACTGAATGTAAATGCGACTACCAAAATTTCAATGGAGAAACAAAAGCAATCTGCGTGAAAGTATTCAGTATTGAGTAACTTCAGAGAAAACAACTCCGTAATTAAAACATGTAGATTACCTATCGTGTTTTAATAATTTAAAAACTTATCTCTCTCAAATAGTTTAACTTTGTATTCTATTTGAATGTAATGCAATGCAGGAGTATCAGCACCTAATAAGCTAGCTGATTGAGGAATGATTGATGTGAGTCGTATGACGTATTACATATTTTAAAACTAAGATATTACTTATACAAGTGGTAAAATAGTGGGCAATGTAAAAACTATAAAATGACTGAAGGAATATCACAGTAATATGCCACAAGGTGATATAAAAATCACAGCACTAACAAATCAATCTAATCAATGGCTGAGAGATTACAAGATATGTTTTAAATTAGAGATGAGACGATTAAAAAAGGCAGTGACCTCATTCAGATAGCTTTGTGTAAACCCATAGTGATCAAGTACGGCTTGGAATGCTTAAAATCTGTAGGCCTAGCACACATATTGGTAGAGGCTTGGGATGCTTAAACTGTCGGGTAGGCCTAGCACATAATCACATATTGGAAGAAGCTTGTGATGCTTAAACTGTCGGGTTGGCCTAGCACATAATCACATATTAATAGAGGCTTGTGATGCTTAAACTGTCGGGTAGGCCTAGCATTTAATCACATATTGGTAGAGGCTTGGGATGCTTAAACTGTCAGGTAGGCCTAGCATTTAATCACATATTGGTAGAGGCTTGGGATGCTTAAACTGTCGGGTAGGCCTAGCACATAATCACATATTGATAGAGCTTGTGATGCTTAAACTGTCGGGTAGGCCTAGCATTTAATCACATATTGGTAGAGGCTTGGGATGCTTAAATTGTCGGGTAGGCCTAGCACATAATCACATATTGGAAGAAGCTTGTGATGCTTAAACTGGCTGGTAGGCCTAGCACATAATCACATATTGGAAGAAGCATATGATGCTTAAACTGTCGGGTATGCCTAGCACATAATCACATATTGGAAGAAGCTTGTGATGCTTAAACTGTCGGGTAGGCCTAGCACAAAATCACGTATTGGAAGAAGCTTGTGATGCTTATACTGTCGGGTTGGCCTAGCACATAATCACATATTGGAAGAAGCTTGTGGTGTTTATACTGTCGGGTAGGCCTAGCACATAATCACATATTGGAAGAAGCTTGTGGTGCTTATACTGTCGGGTTGGCCTAGCACATAATCACATATTGGAAGAAGCTTGTGATGCTTATACTGTCGGGTTGGCCTAGCACATAATCACATATTGGAAGAAGCCTGTGATGTTTAAACTGCCGGGTAGGCCTAGCATTTAATCACATATTGGTAGAGGCTTGGGACGCTTAAACTGTTGGGTAGGCTTAGCATTTAATCACATATTGGTAGAAGCTTGGAATGCTTAAACTGTCGGGTAGGCCTAGCACATAATCACATATTGGAAGAAGCTTGTAATGCTTAAACTGTTGGGTAGGCCTAGCACATAATCACATATTGGAAGAAGCTTGTGATGCTTATACTGTCGGGTAGGCCTAGCACATAATCACATATTGGTAGAGGCTTGGGATGTTTAAACTGTCGGGTAGGCCTAGCACATAATCACACATTGGTAGAGGCTTGGGATGCTTAAACTGTCGGGTAGGCCTAGCACATAATCACATATTGGTAGAGGCTTGGGATGCTGAAACTGTCGGGTAGGCCTAGAACATAATCACATATTGGTAGAGGCTTGGGATGCTTAAACTGTCGGGTAGGCCTAGCACATAATCACATATTGAAAGAAGCTTGTAATGTTTAAACTGTCGGGTAGGCTTAGCGCATAATCACACAATAGTAGAGGCTTGGGAAGCTTGAGCTGTCGGGTAGACCTAGCACATAATCACATATTGGTAGTGTCTCTCGTCTGGTAGATAACATTTAGTAAGATACCAAGCGAGAGCAACACAAAAAACTTGGTTTAATCTCTTCAGAGTGACCTAATGGCACGAGGTTTGTGTCTGCTGTCTCATTTCTGCTACCACCAGTTAGCCATATTGGTACTACAAGATATCAGAGGTAGCCTAGGCCTATACGTAGAAAAAGCAATCTGAACTGACTGAACAGGAGCAATTACTGAATATCCATTTGGATACGTGTCAAAAGCTCCTGAAAACCTCCAAGTTTGTTCCCTATTGTGTTTATTTTTTATGTAACATATTTTAGTGAATACTATTATTAGGTAAAGAAAAATAAAAAAATATATTTGTAGAAAGAAGTTTAGCCTAATAATATAAATATTTATTTGGTTGAAGTGGTGAAACTCGCGAAGCATTTAGAATAAAAATCATGCCACCAGCACTAAATATACTTTCCGCCAAGCATATTGGTGTATGTTTCTATTTCTTTCACATCGTGTAATAAATCGCAAAATAAGATTTTGCAAAAACACTGAGGATATCTAGGTTCACGATGCTTTCTCTAGTCTTATTGGTTGTAACACCATGGCTCGTATATTACATACCACCAACTACAATATCAACAACCACACAACCACCAACTACAACACCAACAACTATATGTACCTGTACCGATGGAACTCAAATACCATATGGGGTAATTCATTATATAACAGACTATCATACTTGTTATTGTAGAGAATCTAGTTTAGAGGCTCAATGAAACGATATTTGACTGTTATAACTTTATGTGTTGATGCTGTTAATATGGCAGGACAATGCTGTTCTCACTGCCCAAATGTTAAGTTCGTTAATGTTCTCTTCTCAATATATTTATTTTTTCGTCAGTTTATTTGGGTTGTCGGTATTAAGTTAAAGGACATTCATATCCTTTCATCAAATAGTCTTTGTGAAAAAAGATCCTATCAATCTAATCAAAATTAGTCTACAATTTCGTATCTTTCTCTTTTGTTATCTGTCCTGAAGTGTTTTAACCAAAAGCGTGTCGTGAAAAAAAGCTAAAACGCGTTTCTTGTTTTGTTTGATTCCTTATTTTATCAACAAAAAGGTTCTTGATTTTACGCTCAAAAATACAACCCTTTGGTCGGACTCTTGGTATTTAATGTGCTGAAAATCCACGATTTTGTTATATCCTACTTTAACTAATTTTGCCCCATTTCAGAACTGCATTTGTATAAATATCAACTTATTGTTACCAAATAAAGTCTAAGTTTATACTCACTGTATGTCACCCATATATCAGTGACATAAGAGGCTGTTGTCTAAATATTACTTAAAAATCAAAAATATGTCGGATTTTACCAATACGCCACAAGGAATGAAACATCATGCTCTGATCTGTTTTCAGCAAGCACAATGGCAACATGCATATTTTGACACACGTCAAACGCTTATGGTAACTCTTCTGAAACCTAACAATACACTTCACCTTATAT